GCCCCAGGTCTCATGGGTCCTGAGCACCAGATCCCCCCGAGGTACCAGCTCCGTCGCTGACCCCGCGGCCCAGATCTGAACACACGCACACCGCAGACAGCGTTCAGACGGGTCACACGGACAAACCCGAGCTCATTTACCACGGTTTCACCACGCTTACCGTCAGCGTCTGTCCGGCGTGCAGCACACACGGCGAGGGGATCTGAAAAACGATGTCAGGAGCTTCTGCTTCACTCTTCCTCAACACCCAGCCGCCGAGAGACTGATCCTGGAGCACAGACAGAGCTGGACATTCACTGCTAATGAACCACACGAACAACTGTCTGTGTGTCTAACACACTCAAGTCATCCAGAAATACACTTTAACACATGCATTGCATATGCATTCAATTTTCTAGCAAAAATACATAGTGATGTACTGCAGGTTTATTATTGACAAACCATAAAACATTTACTTGAAATAAAAACTGGGGGAAAAAAAGAGAGAGAAAAAAAATCACTTAGCAGCCAAGGCAAGATTTCTAATGTGTTTAATTTAAGTACAAAAACTAAAATAACACTGAAAATTTGCATATATATATATATATATATATAGACATTAAAAAACTAACACAAGTGATAAAAACATAAAATTACTAAAACTTACTAAATTGAAAATGGAAAATGAGAAAATAAAAAAATTCTAAATATTAATAAACTACATAAACATAAAAACTAAAAGCAACAAAAACACAAAATTACTAAAACTTGAATTAAATCGAAAAAGGAATACTGTATAAAGTAAACCAAAAAAACTCAATATTGATAAACTATATAGACATACAGTATTAAAAAAGTGATCAAAACAAAAAAAAAATTACTAAAAATTTAATTAAAATGAAAAAAACAAAAAAACAAATGACAAAATGATTAACTAAAATGAAAATTAAAAAAAAAAACTATTTAAATTTGTTTTTTTAAACCTAGTTAAGTGACATCAAAATTACTAAATATTAAATTTAAATAAAAATAGAAGATAAAAATCTAAATATTAAAATTGATATAGATATACTAAAAAAATAAAAACAATAAAACGGACAATTACTAAAATTTAAATAAAATGAAAATTCTAAATATTAATACTACAGTATAAAAAACAAAAACTATCAAATTAAAATGAAATTATAAAAGTGAAACATTTAAAATATGATTAAAAACTACACAGACATGCTGAACAAATGCGACAAAAATAAGACTACCAAAACTTTCACAAACAAAAATAAAAAGGTAGTAATTCAAAATCTTAAATGATATAGACATTAAAAAAAATACACAATTATAAAAAAACAACAAAACTACTAAAACTTACAAAATATTAATAGAAACTAGGGCTGCACAATTAATCGAATTTCTGATCGTGATTACAATTACAGATGCCACAATTACGTAATCGTTCAAAGTCCTCTTATGTTATTCTGCGTGCTTAAGATATGTTTTTTTCTTTCTACGTGTTATCTTAAGGGTTTTTCCATTGTTTTAATTTTAGTGTTAGTATAACATATTAGGGCTGCACGATTATGACAAATCATAATTGTCGATTATTCCCTTTAAATAGTAATTGCGATTATTAATTACCATTATCACAATTTACACTGAATGATGTTTATACCAGTGTTTGATGCAACCGCATGCCGTATTTTTATATGAAAATAAACAAGCTGCAAACACTAACTTTTAGTGCTTCTCTATAGTATTAAACCTCAAATGTCAAATATACATCAGATTGGCTTCTTCTTTAAATTATAAAAAAGTAAAAATATGAATGGTATTATAATGTTATACTAAAACTAAAACAATGGAAAAACACTTAAGATAACATGTAGAAAGAAAAAAACATATCTTAAGCATGCAGAGTAACATAAGTGGACTTTGAACGATTAATTGCCGCTTTGAACCATTACCTAATTGTGATCGTGATTAGAAATTTGATTAATTGTGCAGCCCTATAACATAATCCCATGCATATTTGGACTTTTTTATTATAATTTAAAGAAGAAGCCAATCTGATGTATATTTGACATTTGAGGTTTAATACTATAGAGAAGCACTAAAAGTTAGTGTTTGCAGCTTGTTTATTTTCATATAAAAATACGGCATGCGGTTGCATCAAACAATGGTATAAACATCATTCAATGTAAATTGTGATAATCGTAATTAATAATCGCAATGTTTGCAGCTTGTTTATTTTCATATAAAAATACGGCATGCGGTTGCATCAAACAATGGTATAAACATCATTCAGTGTAAATTGTGATAATGGTAATTAATAATCGCAATTACAATTTCAAGGGAATAATCGACAATTATGATTTGTCATAATCGTGCAGCCCTAATAGAAACTCTAGTAGTTTATCAGTGACTGGTATAATGTGACTGTGATGATAAAAAGCGTGTAATTCAGATCAGATCGTCTCCAGAGAGACTGTGTGTCGCACCTGATCAGAGTTGTTCTTGAGCTTAACGAAGCGTCCGTCCAGGTCAATCTCGTCGATGCACAGGTTCCCGCGCGAGGAGGAATGCTGGGAGAGCTTGTAGCTGGGAGACAGTCCTGAACTCGTGCCCTCGTGTTTGCGCTTCCTCGTGCGAGAGACCGACAACTGCTGGACCGGACTCGGAGACAGATTCAGTCTGAGAGCAACCAAAGCACACAAACACAGCACTCAGCAGCACTCAATGCACTTCATGCTAGCTAATGCATTTTTCAATGCATTTATTAATCTGTTAAATGTCAGCTAATAAAAACTAATTGTTTGTTCATGGTGTATGAACTAATGTTAACATTGTATTATATAAATTTAAATTATGCATAAAATACAATTGTTGAAATGGACATTTAACCAAAGCATTTAAATAAAATTAAAATATAAAAAAACTGCATTTATTCATCTTTGTAAATGTTAGCAACTAAAAATACAGTTGTTCATTGTTCGTTCACTGTGCTTGAATTAATGTTAACAAATACAACTTAAAAAAAAAAAAAAATTATTAAATGCTAAAATTATTATTATATTATATAAATTGAAATGCATAAAAACAATGTAGATAAAATTGTTGGAATGAACATTTAACCAAAAAATTACTTTAAATAAAATACAAATAAATAAATATAAATAAGCAAACGAACAAACAAATAAAATTCATCCATTCAAGCAGAGCTTGGAAATAGGCACTCGTTTAAAGTTAAATGCTGAATTTAATTAATACATTAATATATAACCTTTTGTAACATTATAAATGTCTTTACTGTCACTTCTGATCAATTTAATGATGCATCCTTGCTGAATGAAAGTAGTAGGGTCAAAGACGACAAAGGGTTTAAGCATAAAAACAATAAGTGTAATACTGCTTTAAATTGTTGTTTTTCCCCCAGAAAAATTAAAAAGTTTTCTGTTTAATTTAATTGCAATTTTGTTTTTGTTTTTCTGAGCAAAAAATAAATATCATACATTTTCCCCTGATTTACAGAAGACACCCACTAAAATTCATTCAGTGTAACAATCTTGTCAGGCATATTTACAACAAAAATCTATTTATGACATATTAAAAGACTAATTACTTTCACCCCAAATACTAATTAGCTGTAATTTTAAATTTTTTAAATGTGCCACTATCCTAGGTTTTGCCCATTTATCAGTAAGATTTTTTACTCATTTAAAACACAATGAAATGTAATATACTCCCTTATTCTTTTATACAGTGGGTACGGAAAGTATTCAGACCCCCTTAAATTTTTCACTCTTTGTATGTACACGTCAGAATAAGCATGTTCTACATAAATATTGTGTTACACTGAATGATGATGTAACATTATTTCAACCAAATTCTGACATTTTATTATCCAAAAACTTATTTGAAACCTTACAAGTCGACACTTTACTTGCATTTAATGTGCTTTCTATGGACATAAAATCACTTGTAAATTTATTTTGATGCGGACATCTTAACGTCTTTGACCCAGTAATATTATGAAAAATAAAAAAAATCTTAGCCCAAACTTTTTGCAGATATAATTAAAAAAAATATATAAAAATAATAAAAAATAGAAATAACACAAATCATCCACTAACATTTACTTTTTTTTGTTGTTGTTGAAAAAAGTATATTAATATCCTTTATCACTTGATCAATTTAATGCATCCCTGGTGAATAGAATTTCTTAAAAAAAAAAAAAAACTAACAAAAAACAAAATCTAACAAAAAAAACCCCTGTGAATGGAGTAGATAAGCTTAAAATCACCAAAAAACAAACAAAAACAAATTTTCATATAAATAAATAAAACTATAAATACAAATGTTTTTTTTCAGTGGAATTCAATACCACAATCAATTAGAGAATGTACATCATTTAACTAATTTAAGCATCGTTTTAAGAAACGGATTCCTCATAACCAACAACGTGAACATTAATGTTGTTCATATATATTAATAAGCTGCTTTCTATTTAAATTTTTTTAATACATTTATTTTATTGTCAGTTTGTATAATTTGTTGCTTAATTTTTGGTTGAATTTCGTTGTCATTGTTTTTTCTATTTTGTTTCTTTTTTCTTCTTCTAGTTTTTTGGCCTAATAACATCTTGCAAAGGGACTACCAATGAAAACTAGCATTTGGGCTAATTTGGGTACATTTACTTTCATGAATCTTGATTAAAACCCTCATCCGTCCCTCCTGAACCTATAACAGAAGTGTCCCTCGCGGGTCAAAATGACCCGAAGGCTAAAAATGACACTAATTTTTTTTTTGGTCCAGAAATCTTGATACATTTTTATAATTTTTTTTCTAAATATTTATGTAGGCTTTTCTATCATTTTTTTGGTGGTTTGTATTATATTTACCTTTTATTCTGGATATTTGTAAGAAAATATAAGCAAATAAGCAGTTTTTGTACATTTCACCAAAAAACAAAACAAATAAAGACAATTTCAGTCCTGTTTCATCAAAAACCAACAGATGGCCTTGGAATTGAGTCACTGAGTGTCTCTGATGCCATCTGGTGGGGAAAATTACATAAAATTGCATTTTATGGTTACAGCCACTAGAGGGGCCTATAGAACCCTATG